TCCAGTGTTGGAGCATTTACAACTTCTGGAGGCCACGTTGTTCCACTGATTAATTGTTCTGTCAGGAAATTTCGCCTTAGTTCTAGTTTGCTTCTCTCCTTGATTTCCACCAATTGCTTCTTGTCCTGCCCTCAGGTGCTTTGGAGAACAGCTTGACTCCCTCTTCTTTGTGGCAAGTCACAATAGTCACCTAAAATATTCCAACTCTCACCTGTTAGAAGAAGCTTCCTCATCCTTAGGTTCCCCCACCAGGTAAACATTGGACCGATTATTCTTGCCCAAAAAGGAATGCAAGTTTTGAACCGAAGAGGCTTTTCTTGGTTGACAGAAAGGTGACACCTAGTGGGAAGAAACACTGAAAATCAGAAAGAGTATTGAAGAATCAAACTGCAGATATATTGGATAAAGAGGAAAAACGTTTTCTGACTGCAAGCTTAAATTATTATCTTTATCCTTCTGGAAACCAAAAGAAGTAAAAACAAAATAAAAAAGAGGGTGGCAATGCTATTGGATTTGCTTTCATTAAGTTAATTTATTAAACATGTTTCAAAGATCTGATGCTTTAAGAGTACTTCATGGTCACAACATAATCACATTATTAAATATTATGTACATGCATTAATGAAATTTTTACTTTTGATAAATAATGGACATTTAGTAGGGGTCAATAACTCAGTGATTTTTTTCACATTTTATAATATTTTTTTATCAAAGATTATATCATGCAGATAAAACTAACACAAAGCATAAAAAAATTGAAAACTGCAAAGAAGGGGGAAAAAGTCTAAAATGAGAAAGAAAGAAAAATAATTTTCCCCTTTGTCCCAGCATGTACAAACAATTTTAACAACTTATCAACATCTCTTAAAATAGAACACTGCCTTCATCCCATATCTCACCTTATTCTTTATAAATAAAATCTTTAAAATCTCATCACCCATCCTAATCACCAAATGTCTATTAAGGGTTACCCAAAATAATACCCTATCTATTATAAACTTGATCAAATAAACCTCTTGAATTTTCTTCCTTTTAAGATATATCTAATTTTCTATAATAATTCAAATCCCCCAAACTCATCATTCAAATCTAGAATACACTAAAGATACCAGATAACATATAACTATTTTAATCTTAATCAGATACATTTAAAATACATCCAATAACATTTTCCCCATATAACTTTTAACTATAAACAAAACCTTAAAACATCATTATCTGGTCCTAGTCAGAAAATAAAATTGTATTAAAGTTTCCAGAAATAGCAACCAATCTATTTTAATCTTGATCAAATAAACCAATATCACTTTTATATTGTGCCACTAGAACATCCTAACAAATTACATTAATGTCATCCAGCACACAATCATATATTTGTCTGTTCTTCCCTTCTCATTTGCCAACTGAAGAAAATATTTCCCACCCTTGGAAACTCTGAGTATCATTATCATTGTTTTGACATACAAAATTTCAGCAGCACTTTCATAATCCTTAGAGATGATCTTGTTAAAACATTTCCTACTGGATTCTTGCTGTGCCTTATATTTATTCATGGACAGCTAGGCTTGGATAATGGAATGAGCTCATTTTCTGTAAAA